TCCCGGGGGGAAAATGGAGGAGAAGGGATGGCGGTGTGGCCCCCCCCCCCCGGGGGGGGGTGATTTCTAGCTTTCTATTTCTCTGTCTTTCTCTGTCTTTCTGGCGAGTGCACATGCCCTATAGCAAAAACCTCTCCTAATAAATAAATAAATAAATATAGAATCAAAGTCACATGCTATCACATGCAGAAATTCTGATTTTATTGAATTTGCTATTTTGTATATAAATAAAAAGGAAGCAAATGCATAAAGCAAAGCTCATCTTACTATATGTTTATTGGATATTTCCTGGCTTTAAGAAGGTATGTGAAAATGTAGCAAAAATGGTGGATTTCACTAAAAATGGACATGAGACAGATGCTAGGAGCTTTATCTTGATTAATTCTCCTAATAATTAGGATCACTTTGGACAAGTTCCCTGAGTTTCAGTTTCCCTGTCTAAAAACACATTCATTCCAAAAATATCTACTGAGCCATTATTTCATGTGTCAGCTAGTGTTAGAGGTGCTAGGAATACAGGAGCTATAAACAGACGCAAATCTGTCTTTTTTTTTTTGGAGAGGTTTTCACTATAGGGTGCGTGCACTCGCCAGACAGACAGAGAAAGACATAGACAGAAAGACAGAAATCAAGCCCCAGGGGGGATGGGGCTTATGCAGCATCTGAGACAGAACTGGAGTGCAATGTGATAGGTGCATCTGCAGTAGAAACAAAATTATTTTAGTTACATTTATTCTTTTTTTTTGTTTTTGAGAGGTTTTCGCTATAGGGTGTGTGCGCTCACCAGAAGGAGGGAGACAGAGTGATAGAAAGCGAAAATCACCCCCCAGGGGGGATGGTCATGCCGCAATCCCTTCTCCTCCATTCTCCTCTCGGGATCTTGGGGACGCACGCACATGCGCTCAGCGTGGGTTTTAAGCCACTGGGTCTGGGACACAAACCGCGGTCGACTACGTGGGAGTCCAGCGACATAGCCATTACGCTAACTGCTGGTTCCCGCAAATCTGTCTTTGTAAAATTTACGTTCTAGTGAGGATTGGCAGGGAGATAGCTGTGTAGATGAATGGGAGGAAAGATAGAGCAAATAAAATAAATATAGAATACATTTTTGTTTTTAAGAGAGATTTTTGCTATAGGGTGCATGTACTCGGCTGAGAGGCAGAGAGAGACAGAGATAGAAAGTGAGAAACCACTCCCTATGGAAGATGACCATGGCACAACCCCTTCTCCTCCATTCTCCTTTCAGGATTTGGCGCACGCACGCATAAGCGCCTGACGTGAGTTTTAAGTTGCCGGATCTGGGACTCAAACCAGTTGACCACGTGAGAGTCCAGCAACACCATCCGCTGGTCCCAATAAGTGTAGAATACAGGAGTTTGAGAGGAGAGTCTAGTTTTTAACAATTATAAAGGTAAAAGATAATAGTTCTAATCTCACAGAAAATTAAACGTCATAAGAGAAAACATTGAAAAATTCCTGACATACATAAACACTTTGTTAATTGTTATTTCTAATAATACCACTACTATAATTACTATACCATAAGTACCCAAAACGTTGGTTATAATTCCCTTCTTAAGAGGAAATAACTAAGGGTCAGAGAAGTTAATCTGCCCCATGGCACATGGACCACAAAGAACAAGACCAAGATTTGACCACAGCTCTGAAAACCAGGCTTTTTTTTTAAAATTATTTATTTATTTATCCACTCATTTATTTTTTAATTTGACCAGAGAGAGACACAGAGAGAGAGAGAGAGGGAAAGTGAGAAAGCAAGCCACCGGGTCCGGGACTTGAACCGTGGTCGGCCATGTGGGAGTGTCCAGCACCTTAACCACCATACCACCTGCTGGCCCTGAAAACCAGTCTTTCTTCAGAGCCCATTCTTTCTCCATTGAAGATCATCTCAAATCAGAAAGGCATTTTGAACTCAGTGGGCATGTGCTTCATCACAGTCGTAAATACAAATCTTAAATATATAGTTGGCATATAAAGAAGGAACTCAGGGCTCAGCCACAGAGTGTGTGCTGGCAGAGGCTGTGACTCAACAAGCTGAGACCACCCGGGCCGTCTGAGTCAGGCACGGTGGCATGTGCCTGCAGTCTCAGCTATTCTGGAAGATGAGGCAAGGTCATGAACTAGTGAGACCCTTTCAAAAAAGAAGCAGCAGCAGCAGCAGCAGCTGGGGTCTAAGTTACCAGACTTAAAGATAAATGTAAAAGTGCATTTTTCCTTGTGGAGTGCTTTCTTTGCATCTTATTTATAATAGATTTGTAGGCAATCTGTCCAGTTTATTTTATTTTATTTTATTTTTACTAACTTATATTTTGCTAGCATTTGCTGAATGGCTATCTTTTTGATTTTTGATTTTTATTATCCTCATAATCTTCTTTATATTACATTGGATTACATATAACTTTACAGTGTACTATATTGCTTTTTCAAAAGGGAATGCCATGCATGTCAGTCAATACAGAGATACTAATCTCCCCACTTCATCATTCGATATCTTTTCTATGTTTTTCCCAATCATTATTATTATTATTCTAGTTATTTTATAAAACAGTCAATCACTATTTCTCATTTTACTTGTAAAAAGACTTTACCCATCATGAAATACTTCTCAGACCAATCCAGTTGAGAATACTATACATGTCATCAACAGTTAATAAGCCATATCTGTTTCTCATTAACGTCCTGCCTCTCTATTGTTCT